AATGTTTAACAGTTTTGTTCATGTGCAGTGTATAGGCATGTGCGAGAAGTCTACACAAGCTATTGGTCTGACATGCATAAATAGCATTTTTTGTTGTTTTCACAGATCAGCGTGAACATAACTTTAATGTAGGGTCTGGCGAGTCATCAAAAATTAATCAAAATTCACATTCAGAACCTAAAATCGATCTGATTTTCCCAGGTCAACTTATTTCCATTTATGCGTGTGGTGTCATGTGACCATGGTCTGTTAAGGCTAATTTATACTTCGGTATGGTCCAATGACTGTATGGTCTAGCGCAGCCTTCATGCATACTTTGAGTACATTACACATGAGCAAATTTTTGCACATCAGTGAACTATGAGGGCAAAAAATAAATAAAATAATAATTTGTTAAATTGTAATAGGAGTTAAAATGTTTAATTAATCGAGATATAAATTTAGGCCAAATCTCCTAGTCCTACTTTAATATTACATTTTTTGTACAACGTTATCATTAGTAATAAACTGTCAGTGCTTTTTCCATAAACACCCCCTAAAGATAAAACATTTAATATTTATAGTTTTGTTTATTTGTAAAAAAAAAAAAAAAAAAAAAAAAAAAAAAAAAAAAAAGAATTATAATAATAAATCAATAGATAAGTTTGTTGTGTTCCTTACATTTGATTAATTTAATGTACATTTGTATTTGTTTATTTAGCAGACACTTGTCCAAATTATTGGGGCATTTCACTATTTGCTACTCTAGAACAGTGGATTCCAAAGTGGGGGTTGTGGAACAATGACAGGGGGTCGCTTGGTAATTTCCAAAAGTCAAATAAATTTAGTAAACTATTAGATAAACCATATTGCAACCATAACCCACAGAAGACAAAAATAGTAGTTTTTATTTGTAAAAACAACAACATGGAAATAAAAAGCCATCAGCTTATAAATTATTATTTTTTACATGCAATCAATGTAGGTATGTTAATTAACAACACAGCAATAGCATCAGCTGAATTTTATAGCACCAGGTTAAACTTTGACACCTTACTGGCAATCAAATTAATAAAGGCCACAACTGAACATTGAGAATGATCTCTGATTGGTGGTCTCCAAAATTAAACCTCTAAAATGTAGTCTAATGAAGAGACTTGTGCTGAAAACATTGTGTCCACCAGTCTCTTTAGTTAAGCTTAATATTAAACATTAATAAATGACTATAAAAATGATATGGTTGTTAGACTTTCAATTTGTGTTGTCAATATGTTTATGTTTATATAGGCCTATTACAGTGTGTGCAACTTTTGTATACTTATAACCACCTCCGAGGAATTTGGGGGTTGCGAGTGACTGGCATTATTATTTTAGGGGTCAAGGGCTGAAAAGTTTAGGAACCCCTGCTCTAGAAGATGAAAATTATGCAGAGTGGAAGTGATACTAGTTTTAGTGGTAACATAGGGGTAAAGTTCTCACAGGAATGAACATTGTGTTTTCTCAGTGCGTTGGGAGACTAGAAAGTCTCTGTTACTAAAGTCCATTCATATAACACTGCTTCAATTCAGGAACATGCAAAACTTTATAATACTTACAGCTCTACCATCACAGAAGAAAGTGGTATTTACTTTCATCATTATTATTATTGATTCAATGAGAACTTACATTCGTTTAACCTTACCTTTTTTAACCTTACCCCTCGTTTTAACCTACAATCTAATCCAGTATAAATGTGTTCCTGTTATCGTGTGTGTACATTTTCATCCAGCAGATGCTGGGCACGAGTTAAACAAACATGTTGCCATGACAACATTAGCCTGAGATTCACTGTTGTACATCAAACATTTACATAAATTTCCACATAAAACCTGTGCTTAGTCCTGCTCTCTCTCTCTCTCTCTCTCTCTTCCGTGATACAAAGGAAACGAAAGGCTGCTCTTCAATGAAAACAGTCTACAGTTTATGGTCAATTTAGGGTGAGCAACGAACGACAACGTTTAGTTTAACAGCGTTCAAATGTCAGACACAGACCGCGTGTCACTTTAAATAAACGCGTCTGACAAAAGGATAAATAAATGTGGACTGACAAGAGAAAGGATGCAGAGAGGCTGAGGTATGTCATTTTATGTAACGGTAAGCCAAGCATCATAAAACGAGGCGGTAAAACGGGATGTACGTTCAATTTATGGTTATAAAAATCAAATAAATCCCGTTTGAACTTTACAACTGCATCAGTACACTACAACCAGTCCGCCTTTCTCTGAACTAAACTGGGTCGACGAAAACCAGGTGCCAAAACCTAAAAAGCATCATGCCTCCTCGGTCTAAATTCATCTGGAAATAACAACACTTCTTCAGGAAGACACTTGACAGACCCTGAAGTCCCCACCACACAATGTCTCAAAATTAACGTTAGTCTTCATCTTATAAATAAAATCTAACGCTTCCATTTAAATGCACATCTTCAATAATTAAGGCATCCGATTTGATGGTTCCCTGCAATTCCCCACACTTAGCTCTTAATAGCGTCCTAGCTAGCGTACTGCACCTCCTCACCACAATAGACGAAGAGGGGGTCGCTGGGTTCACTGCTGCTGAATCAAAGCGGACAAACTCACCATCTGGGTCTCCTTATCAGCCTGTTCAAGAGAAAGGGGATGAGAGAGATCTGCTGCCGGTTCCGGTCCGCTCACTGTGCACGAGTCGGCTGAAATCTCATTCGTTTTGTCCGCTGGTCCACACGGGGAACTTCTGCAGGCTGAGCTGAATGAAATGTACCAGCACACACTGATCACCCGACAGAGCTCGACGTGTTTTCCCCCCACCTAGCTCTGTTCAACGGACGGTTTTTTTCCTCTCTTCATCACGCCTTTTTTTATTCAGCAGGATGTCACACGCGATTGGACGCTGCTCGTGCCGCTCTCCTCCCACTTCTGAATTTCGGGAAACTGTCTTTGCAAGAAATAGCCATGTTACCTCATGTGTTCATCACTTTATGGTATTTATCACTTCCCCGTATTATCTATATAGTCAACTGTTAGTGACTTAAGTGCTTAAAAGACTATTTAACAGAGCTGGCTTGAGTTTAGCCAGCGTAGCCTAATTTATATTTGACTGACGGTCTCTTCAACGTCATGAATATTTTTCAGGCAAAAATTTTTTTTATCAGCATCCCAGTCATGACCTTCCCAACCTGTATTTGTTCCTTCAGAAGATCATGATGTCAAGACGACACACTTTACACAATCTTCCTGTATAAACATCAACCATGCATGTGTAGTAACCAATTTTGGTATGTTTTTAAGTCCACATTTGTAACAATCATTTTACAGAGAGACAGGCATTTATTTATTATTTTTTTTCTGGCTTAGTCTCTTTATTAATCGGGTCGCCACAGAAGAATGAACCACCAACATATCCAGTATGTTTTATGCAGCATATGCCCTTCCAGTTGCAACCCATCACCCACACACTCTCATACACTACGAACAATTTAGCCTACCCAATTCACCTATAGCGCATGTCTTTGGACTGTGGGGGGCAACCAGAGCACCTGGAGGAAACCCACATGAACATAGGAGAACATGCAAACTCCCCACTGAAATGCCAACTGACCCAGCCAAGGCTTGAACCAGTGACCTTCTTGCTGTGAGGCGACAGCACTACCCACTGCGCCCTAGAGGGACAGTTCAACCCTCAAAATGCAATTTTACTCACCCTTAGTAAGCTGAAAACATGTAACAGTTGACATGTATGGTAGGAAAAACAAATATTATACAGGGCTGTAACCAAGGGGAATTCGGGTGGTTCAAAAGACCATTTGACAAAGTCCAGAATTTGACCCATATGTGAGCTCATTTGTCCTATTTTTGACAGGATTCAATCATAAATTGTGAAAACCAGTAGATGAAGGTTTTAAGAATAACCAATAAAAGGCTTTAATTTTAAATCGACAAATTCTGACTGAAGAAATAAGCTGTCCAGTCTGTTTGCCTTTAGACTAGTTTTTAAATGATTATAATTGTTTTTAATTTTAAGTCCCATTTTTTAAGATTGCATCTGAAAATGTGGTAATAAGAACCACCTCACACAAATTAGTGCTTAAGTGTGACAAATTCAGTTTTTGATCCTCAAACAACTGCAAAAAGGTCCTCTAAAGGAGAGAAAAAGGAAAAAAAAAAAGCTACAGGCTTGCTCTTGAAGTTATTAGTTAAAAGGTAAAGCTTTCTTAAGAATTGCTCGTTTAAGAAAAGGTGGGAGACAGTGTGAGTAAATAGGGTAGGGGGAGATCCACATTTATGGGTAAAAATCGCTTTAAACTACTTATGGGATGTTGGGTTAGACAAACAAAACATTTGTTAAATTCTCAATCACACCTGTTAAACTGAAGTTGAGTTTGTCCATACTGAAACTAATGTTGATTTGCAAAAAAAAAAAAAAAAAAAAAATTTATAGAGGATGCAGTTAACAAAATTATGGTTTTAAATTGACTGGCTTTTAAGTTTAAGTAAATCCATGATGTCATTTATCAGTTTATAAAAAAAAAAAAAAAAAAAAAAAAAAAAAAAAAAAAGCCTACCGAACTCGATGGTGAATGCATGCACCTTTGTATATTCAAATTCAAATTGAGTACCCTTTCAAAGCAAAGGGGTAAATAGAACAGACCAGTTTCCTTTAACATACATTTAAAAAATATTGGAAAGAGAACTTCCACCATCTAGCGGGAACACCCCAACACTGCAACCAAGTAAGATTTCACTAATCAAGATTTTATTTTTCATGGTAAGGGGGAGAAAAGAAAAAAAAAAAAAAAAAAAAAAAAAAAACCCTTCAAACCCGTTTGCATCTTCAAATGTCTTCATAATCAGGTTAGGGCAGTTTAAATAAATAAGGCAAACTTGTTTATTTGATAGTAAAATTCAGTGTCTAAATTAGGTATAATGCCTGGCTTAAGGCACAGTGTCTTCCACTCCAAAGCAATCAAAACCACTAGTCAAAAAAAACAAACAAATTAAAATTCATTTTCAAAACAGTTAAAGACTTTATTTCTCCATTTTGGTACATTACATTGGACCATAAGCAAACTCCTTGATGCTGATGGGTCCAACAAATGCAGCATCCCACTTTGGAGCAACTAAAAATGAAACAGAATAACCATGAGTGACCAAACACAATCCCCTTAATCTCCCCAAACTAAAGAATACTCGCCATTAAGCTGTTCAGTCTGTTCACCACAGGTAGAGTCACAACAGCCACACACCAGATGATCATCATCAGCAGACAACCACCTGTTATAAGATGCATTAGAAAAAGGCACTTTTTTTTTTAGGGGACGGGGACTCTAACCTGGTGGAAACGTACCCATTAGAGGAGGAGTAAGAGCAAGCCTTTTGCTCCACATTAGTGGGAACTGATGCTGCTGCCACTTCGAGGACACAAGCGATGTAGATCTACAAAAGACGGTTAATTTACACCATGCCAACAAGGAGAAAAGAAAAAAAAATGCAAATACATACAACTCCTGTAAGATCCTGCTGGAATCTGAAGGCCTCCAACTGAAAGTGCAGCTTGTCCATTTGAGTCCGAGCCATGAACTTAGAGCTAGAGCCTGTGAGTTTAGAATCAACTAGACATCTGCATGTATATAAGGGGGGAGAAAAAATAAAAATAAAAAAAGGTACAGATCAGATCTTCCATAACCACAGCAAAGACTGGTACTTCAAAAAGACATCTTACCCATTATTCTCAATAAAGGAGTATCGGAGAGCATTAGCAACAGTAGGATCAGAAGATGCCACACAGCTGTCAACAAACACTCGCAGAGGAATGTGATTGTATGACATTACTGAAGCCTCAAGATTAATGAAATCACCCAGGAAGAACTCGTTGGAAGGCCTCTCATATAGCCAGTCCTCTGCAAAGAAAGAATTTTAGCCTACGTTAACAAGTTGTATAAACCTCCAATACCAACCAGTCATGATCCTGAGGGAGAAGACCAAAAGCTCCTCTGCAACCATGGTAGCACCATATGGGAGCCAAGTGGGCAATAAGGCATTGCTGGTCACATTGATGAGTCTGTAGGAAGAGACAGCCTCTTTAATTCTACAGTTTAAGCAATTGGCACATCCATCATTCAAGTTAAGGCTTAACCTTGGATAATGACACTGAATACCAACGACTGCACCACTGCTCCTGGCAATAGGAGCACTAGCTGGAGCATCTTGTGGGGTGAAGATAAGATTGAAGGTGTAGACAAGCTCATTCTCAGTCATCTAGTAAAAGGTTGAACAATCATTAAGATGCGCCACAAAGACAACAAAACACAAAAACAAATAAATCCACTTACTACAGTTGTGCTTCCACATTTATGCAACTCTGACTCAAAGATAACCACTTTAGCAGTAGGGTCTTCTCCAATTGGTGCACATCCTCCCAGTGAGAAAGCAGTTGGCATCATTAGCATTCCAGTACCAAAGAAGTCCTCCAAAACTTCCACGCGGATCAAACGCTCGCTACACTGAGCTGCTACACTGTTAGCAGGTAAAGGATGGCGCAACTCAAAAGGAATATCTGGCTGTTGTGGTTTAGGTTTTACACTTGGAAATGTCCATGATATGGATGGAACTGGACCCTGCAGCAATTCTTTTGTCTGAACATCCAAAAGATCCTGGACAGGACCTCTATATTCAGTCTTAACTGGTGTCTGGACAGTAAACTGAGGTGGGAACTTAGACGGAACAAATGCAGGAACACTGGGAACGAATGTAGGAATTTGAACCACGTCTCTCTGTATCCTGAACTTGTTTGGGATCCAATCATCTGCTGCATTTACTCCCCATTCTGCAACAAAAGATCCAATTGCAAATACCACTACAAAGCCAACTTGAAAGATCCCCATGGTTGGTGGTTCAACAATGTAATGAGGCGCTACCCTCCAGATTTATACAGATGTAAATGAGGATGTTTCCGCCTCTCTCGTTATGAGCATGATGTTTTGCTGGCCCTGCTAACTTACTCTATTAGTACGTCACAGGTGAAAATCATTCATTCCTCATACTTAATTCCAAAACGTGCCATAAAAGGCTAACTGAAACATTGCCTAATTTTTATAATGAAAGATCAGTTCTTTGAAACAGCCAACCTCTAAACCATTTGTTTATTATTTCAGAAGCATGGCCACAGACAGAACTGTACACTAGAATATCCATATTCATAATGGTCATCAGATTCAGTTTGTAACAAAGCTTCATAACAGCTATCTCCAATATTCACCTCAGGACCAAAGGAATCCAAGAATATATCACAGCACAGTCTTTATTGTAGGCTCAATGATGGTTTTGTTACACTCCCAATCATGTTGTTAGTTTGGTCAGAATGTGTGTGTGTGTGTGTGTGAGAATTAACTGTAGAGTTGGTTTCTTTCTTTAGAACCATATTATATGTTGATGTATGAGCGCAGAAAGACAAGAATCTGAAGTGTTTGCTAAAAAAAAAAAAAGATCTGAATTCAAAATATTAACACATGAACAAAAGACAAGCTCATTCATGGGCATTGAAAATGGTGGTGTTTGAGACAGGACAGCACACATTAAAACACTACAGAAGTCTTAACAAAATGATATAGTTCACAATAAGCTTGTAAAGCAGCACAACATAATAAAAAAAAACATTAAAACAGAGATTTCAAAAACATTTTAGAAAGAAAAACAAAACAAAACCTGTTTGCCATAGAACAGGAACATCTAATTTAACAACTCTTGGCCTCAATATGCCTTTTGTTACTCATTCTGCCAATTCACAATTCTAAAATGGTTGAAAACACCTTTCTTCAATGGGTTCATTAAGTTATAAAGATGATAAAGTGATGAGTCTCCTAGTCACGCTTTATACAGCTTCATCTAACATACAGAAAAAAGCAGACAAGTAAAGCCCCTTCTGATCTAAGAACATTTGACTGCTACTTTCTGGTACACTTCAATTGTCCCATCTGCTTTTCTTACGTTTCGGAGGATCAGGAACTGCAAAGCTTTCTTTGTGAGACCCTGACTTCTCACCTTCATCTCTTTCTGACCGTCCCTCTCTGTCCCTATGGCTCCCTTCACCATTTCGGCTATCCCCATGCCGATCTCTGTCACTATGGCGGTCCCTTTCCCCGTGGCGATCGCGGTCACGATCACGCTCTCTCTCTCGTTCTCGCTCTCCTCCACTATGCCTGTCACTATGACGGTGACTATGACTATCTCCATGCCGGCCCCTGTCATCAGAGTGCCTCTCGCTACGGGACGGCTCTTTTGAAGAAGAGCTAGAGTAAGAGTCTGAAATTGAGCTGAGGGTGCCCGCACTGCTGAAGCCACTCATTTTAATGCCTGAGGTGAGAGCTGGAGGCGGTGGCATGGAAAACGAGGAAGAGGATGATGGCGAGAAGGACAGGTGAGGTCTGTCCGGCCCCTCAGGTGCTCCTGTTGGCAAAGAACTCAGACTTCCAGCGCTGGTCCATCCAGATGAGCTGCTGGACTTTGTGGTGAGTTTAGGAGGCACACCTGATGCCGCGACAAAGTGGTTTTTGTACTGAGCCTAAGAGAAACAAGAACATGTTAAACAAAATTCAAAGACTGGTGCATCAAGACACTGAACTCTATAGTAAAGAAGCTGACACAAATAGGGGGAAAAAACAAGGTGAAGAGAATGGGATGTGTGTGTGTTCACCTGAAATGCTTGCTTTAAGGCAGACATACGGTCTCCCATTGCTCCAGTGGAGGGTTTGAAGGTTTCATAGTTGCCAAGAGCTGCTGCAATAGAACCACCACTGCGCTCCTGTTTAAATGCATGAAATTAATGTTATTAGAACAATATTAATCAGGGTTCTTACACCTTTTTCAACTTCAAATTCCAGCACTTTTCAAGCACTTTCAAGGTGCATTTTTATGCTTTTCCAGCACTTAACAACCACGGTAAATTACATTTATATATGCTGTATGTACTTTTTCACAATTATATGAAATTATCATCCATTGTGCTATTTTAAAAAACACAATATGATAATTTAATTGAAATTCTTGAATACTTTGGAGCATAGATTTATTGGCATAGTTCACCCAAAAATGTTTAAAAAAAGTTCAGTTATTGGAACTTTTTAAGTTCGGTCTCTTTCTGCCGAAAGTTGATATCTTAAAAAATGAGCTTATAGTCAGACTTTGTTTTGGTGTAGTAGCAAGTTGACATGTCTGTTTTAAACTATTCCTGAGTGGTTCGTTTGTTGTTTTTAGGTACAAAAATGCAGTCTCCTAAACAAACATATGGTGAACATTTTGCAGTGAAAACTGGTACCACGACAACAGTTTTATGTACTCGCACAAATGCTCCTAAATAGATAACATTTTGGGTGCATATGCGACCAAAACGGTCACAATTTTGACCCGTACAATTTCAAATCCAAGCAGGTTCAGGCACTTTGTCCAAAATCCAAGCACTTTCCTAACCTTGAAAACACTATATTAAAAATACAGCATTTTCCAGGATTTCCAGCACCCATACGAATCCTGAATAATGAATGCAATTAGCAAAGAAAAGACTGTGATTGATGGTTTTGTAAAAGATGCCAAAACAAACATTAAAAAAGTTCTGCCAGTTCTTCCCAAAAAATTAAATATGGTAGTTAAATTATTCATTCTCTGGCCATCCAAGATGTAGGCAGGGTTGCTAGATTATTGAAACTTGCCAGCCCAACTCAAAACCCACACACAACAATAGAAAAATAGCCCATTTTCTCCTTGTCCAATCAGAGTCAATTGATGAATTCCCAATAAAGAAAAGGTTTACTAATTTATAAGTATAAGTATAAATCTTCTTTAATGTTCTTGATGTAGAACAAAAGTCACTACATCTTGGATGACCTCAGGTTGAGTAAACTCTCTAATTACATTAATGACGACATTATTATCTCCATTGACCATCCAATCAAATATAATAACCATATAAAGAGTTCAGATTCAAAACCCTCCTTGAGTCATCAGACCTCTTTTCTTGTAAATGAGCATTTTCTATCAGGCTCCTCTGATTAGGTCCAGCAGTTTAATTTAATAGAAAATGATAAGGGTATTAGCTAGTAAATACAATACTTTTTTTTTTTTTTTTTTAAATGTCACTTTAGATAAAGTAGAATTACTTGTGTCAAAACTGGCTAAATCCACTTGTGCTTTTTTTTTTTGTTGCAAAATGCCTCTAAATCTACCTATTGGGAAAATACGTTGTAATTAGTTGAAAAATTACTAAAGACGTAATTAGAAATTATTTTACCAAACATAAAACTAATTACACAAACCACCTAAAATAAAAAATACTTAAATCTGTCAGATAAGTGGCGGTTCATTCTGCTGTGGTAACACCTGATTAATCAGGGACAAAGCAGAAGGAAAACGAATGAACGAAATCTGTCAAGTAAGTGCATTAATCAATAACGTTAAAATTGACATTAATTAAATCTTAATCTGTTGGCATTTCTGATATTGGTGATTTAGATTAAATGTGAGTAATGAAAACATTGCAAACATTGTAAACTAAGCTTGTTAAATTCAGATAATGTAGTGTAAAAATATTGTGAAACATTAATATCTGGTGCATTGTCCATTCATATAAAAAGCTTATCAGACATATAATATGGAGTAATATGAATAATGTATAGTTTTGTACATTATATTTATCTTTTAAAAAATAGCTTACATTAGCAAATAAAACACAAGGTAGGCCTGCTGGGCAAAACGGAATGTCCCTCAGACAGTTTCAGTAGCTGTCATTCATTCATTCGTTCTCACTTTACTCAAGGTCTTGATCTCTTTTTCGTCTCTTGTTTATCCTCATAGCATCCATGCGGGATAAAAGAACGGCATCTTAACTTCGTCTTTCGTATAACGGAATTTCCATTTAATGTATAGTAAATCAGACTCATTCAAAGTAGCGTCGCTGCACAAAAAAAAAAAAACATTATGAATGCATGATACACTTTTGACTGTATTGTGTTCTTTTTTTTTTTATAAAATGCAGAGTTTTGAGGTAAAGGAATATTTTCATTTGCCATTCACTGACAAGCTCATCCAGTTCATCAAACTACATGTTTTAAAATCGAAATCGGAAGCGGAGTAAAACAGTCTCGTCATAAAAGCCGGCTTATCAGCGTGCTGTTACACTGAAAACATATAATTCGATTCGCGCCTTCTGATTGGTTCTTGGGACAAAGCTGCTTTTGCTGTCAAATGCAAGTGGTGTTTAGAGGCTTTTGCCAACAAATTGTTATTTCTGAATGGGCTGACGCTGGGATTAAGATGATTTGAAACTAAAATACTTGTTGAATATGTACAGTGTGCCTAATGCATTCTCTCAATGTCATTAGCTCATTTTGGTTGAATTGGCGTTTAGCCGCTTTTGCACCTGAACTCTTCATATTTTTTCAAATAAAACCAAAATAAATCTCAAACTAACAGAGCATTCCGATCCAAGGCCAGGTCTCTCTCTATAGCCCAAGCCTCCACCTCCAATATTAATCTTCTTCCCTTTTCCTCCCTTAAAGCGAGATTTCCTGAACCAGGGATTCTACGAGGAAAAAAAACATTAAAAGCAAAGTTAAAAATGTATTCATTCAGCAATTATTTAAAAGCAAAATCAATGAAACATGCATTGTGAAAGGTGTTGAATTACCTGCATAGCCAGGTCTAACAGATCTTTTGAAACACTCTGATTGGCTCCCTCTAAATTACGAACCAGGTCACCGGCAAATGAAGTGTCTTTAGTGGTGAGCAATGTATAAGCTACACCTTTTTCTCCAGCACGACCTGTTCTACCAATTCGATGTGTATGTGTGTCAATGTCCCGGGCTACATCATAGTTGACAACAGTGCGAATAGATGGAATATCCAACCCACG